CATGTGCAATATTTATTCATGGCCTAGAATATTGTGACTACCATTAAACTATGTCGCTTATACAACATGTGATTGACCACACGACTGAATAAATTATTTATTTATAGGAGGCACATAGTACAATATTTTGCCTTGACAAACTTTGTCAATTTGATTTATTCATTATATGGTCATACTTATATTTTCATTTATTGTCAGGAATTATTGAACAACTAGATCCACTGATCAACATTGTTGCTGATTTATAGACTGATGAGCCACGTGCTCATAATGATCTATTGTCTGACCGGACACCCACTTGCTTGGACATTCGCTTGTTGGGACACCTATGTGCCTGGACCTAACTCGATGACCCTACACATAGCCCCAACTCGATGACCCTACGTATGGCCCCCACTCAAAGACCCGACTTGCGGACCCGATCCGCGGATCCGACACATAGACCCAATATGCGAACCCGACAAGCGGATCCGAGTCATGTCGAGAATCAACTCATACTGAGGGCATGTCGACATAAAGTAGATACTTGTAATGAGGAATACCACGAGCCAAGCTGCCTCGCAGCGAGCATAGCCTCTAGCCGAGCCGCCTCGCAACGAACATCGCCTCCAACCGAGCAAACGCCTGACCGCGAGCATAGCCTCTAGCTGAGCAGCTTCGTAACGAGCATTGCCTCCAGCCGAGTAATCTCGTAACGTATGATACCTCTAGCCGAGTATTGCTTTATGTTGAGCATTGCCTTGGGTTGAGTACTGGTTCAAGACATCTAGCCACTTCGGCCCGTACATAGATTGGATTTGAAGTCTCCAGCCAAAAGACTCTCTTGACTGAAGACTTGGGCGACTACTGTTAGTACTACACATATTGGGCCTCAGACCTTGACACATTGGACCTCAATATTTGGGCCTCATTACCCAGCCCATAATTATGTAAAATGAGGAGCCCTTTATTCTATAAAATGGGACTCATCCTCCCTCACAAATTGGTCTCGGTGAACCCAACAGAGGGCAATACCCTCACAAACACAACAACACTCTCTTCCTTATGGGGACTCCCCTTGAGCTTGTAATCCATACATATAGTTACAGAGAAATACAATCAACATCAGTGTGGACATAGCCCAAACATTGGGGTGAACCACGATACATCTTGTGTTATTTACATTTCTTGCAGATTCACGGTCGGATTTACGTTGTTCCAAGACCTCTGGTTTTGTGCATCAACAAAATCAAAGGGCACGAAGACAAAGTTCTGAAGCTAAAGAAAGCCCTCTATGGGTTAAAACAAGCACCACGAGCATGAAATAGTCGCATTGACAAGTACTTCCAAGAGAACAACTTCACCAAGTGCCCTCATGAACATGCTCTCTACGTCAAAGTCAAATATAGAGATATTTTGATTGTGTGCTTATATGTGGATGATATAATCTTCATTGGAAGTAATTTAAGCATATTTGAAGAGTTCAAGAGAGTGATGACCAAAGAATTCGAGATGACCGACATCAGGCTGATGGCATACTACCTAGGCATTGAAATCAAGTAGAACGAAGAAGGCATTTTCATCTCCCAAGAAAGCTACACAAATGAGATACTGAAAAAAGTTCAAAATGGACGACTACAAGCCCATCAGCACGCTAGTGGAGTGCGGAGTCAAACTAACCAAGCATGACAAAGGAGAAAGCGTAGATCCAACATTTTTCAAAAGTCTAGTTGGAAGCTTGCGCTACTTGACTTGCACAAGACTAGATATTCTTTATGTCGTCGGATTAGTCAGTCACTACATGGAGAATCGTACAACTACACACATGAAGACCGCCAAAAGAATTCTTCGATACCTTAAAGGTATCATTAACTTTGGCTTGTTATATTCAAGTTCTAGTAACTATAAACTTGTAGGATATAGCGACAGTGATTGGGTAGGAGATTCCGACGATAGAAAAAGCACTACTGAATTTGTGTTCTTCATGGGAGACATTGCATTCACATGGATGTCGAAGAATCAACCGATTGTCACTTTTTCTACCTACAAAGCTGAATACGTAGCTGCTACCTCATGTGTTTGTCATGCAATCTGGTTAAGAAACTTGCTGAAAGAATTAAGCATGCCACAAGAAGAGCCAACAGAGATCTATGTCGACAACAAGTTTGCAATAGCTCTAGCAAAGAATCCAGTATTCCATGATAAGAGCAAACACATAGATACCTGCTACCATTACATAAGAGAGTGTATTGCAAGAAAAGATGTGCAAGTGGAATACGTGAAGTCTCAAGATCAAATTGCGGACATATTCACTAAGCCACTCAAACAAGAAGACTTTATCAGAATGAGGAACTCAATCGGTGTCACAAGACAAGATTAAGGGGGGATGTTGAATTGTAATCTTGCCTTGGCCCAAGACAATTGATCCGACCCATAGGCAAAGAAAGATCCATGCACATGCTAGAGAGTTATAACAAAGTTCAAGTTGGTGGAATGCATGCATAAATATCTAAGGCTTTTTGTAGAAAGTTCTAGAATCTTGTAAAAATGTGTGGTTGTTAAGCATTAGCTAGAAAGTTCTAGCAATGCCAAAGTTGGCAAACCTTGCCTATAAATAGGTGAGGTGCTAAGCTATGTGATGTAACAACTAAGAGAGCAAGTAGTGAGAAGTGAGAGTGTCAAGTGAGAAGTGAGAGGAAGCAACAAAGCTTCTAAGAGTGTTTGAGTGTTTCATCTTGTACTAAGTTTGTGAGTGAATAAAAATCTTGTGTAATACTTTGAGTATACTTTCTTTCTCTTGCCTATCAATTCAGCTGTATTACATTCTTCTTTGTCAGATAAACATCTCAAAAGTAGTGAAGTCTTTTTAAGCCCCAACATGGCCATCACAGTTTAGGTACTTTTTTTTTTTAGGAAAATTAATGAAAATGGCTTAAAAACTTTGAGTTTTAATGATAAGAACAAAATAAAGGGTAAAGTGAATAGTACCAGGATTGACTTTTTAGTTTAAAAATGTGATTTTTCGTTAAATTGAACAATATCGAGAGCTTTTCGTTAAAGTTCCATTTTTTTTGTAAATTTTCAAAATTCTCTCTTATTTTACCTGCTCTGATATTTTTATTTTGGGTAAAAGATTGTTTACTACCCTCATGTTTTGTGGTTTTCAACATTTAGTACATCAAGTTTTTTTCGTCTCAGATTCATACCTAAAGTGTAAATTTTGGGATAGTCTCATACATACGTTAGTCAAACTGTTAAATTTGTCGTTAATTATGACGTGGCGCCATGATTGGGCACCACGTGTCATCCACGTTTTTTTTTTCTTCTTTCTTCTTCTTCCTTCTTCTTCCTTCTTCTGCAACTTTTTTTTCTTCCTCCTTCCTCCTTCTTCCTTCCCCTTCTTCTCCTTCTTCCTTCTTCCTTCCTTCTCCTTCTCCTTCTCCTTCTTCTTCTTCTTCCTCCTTCTTCCTCTTTCTTCTTCTTCTTCTTCTTCCTCTGACTGCAACTTTTTTTTCTTCTTCCTCCTTCTCCTTCTTCCTTCCTCCTTCTTCCTTCCCCTTCTTCTCCTTCTTCCTCCTTCTTCCTTCTTCTTCTTCCTCCGAATCTGGGGAAGATGAAGGTTTTTTTTTTCTTTCCTTTTCTTCCTCCTTCTTCTCCTTATTCTCCTTCTTTCTTCCTCCTTCTTCCTTCCCCCTTCTTCTTCTTCTTCCTTCTTCTTCCTTCTTCTTCCTCCGAATCTGGGGAAGATGAAGGTTTTTTTTTCTTTTCTTTTTCTTCTTTCTTCTTCTTCCTCCTCCTTCCTCCTTCTTCGTCCTTCTTCTTCTTCTTCTTCCTCCGACTGCAACTTTTTTTTTTCTTCCTCCTTCTCCTTCTTCCTTCCACTTCTTCTCCTTCTTCCTTCTTCTTCCTTCTTCTTCTTCTTCCTCAAATTTGGGGAAGATGAAGGTTTTTTTTTTATTTTTTATTTTGAGGAAGATGAAGAAGAAGGAAGAAGGAAGAAGGAGAAGAAGGGGAAGGAAGAAGGAGAAGAAGAAGAAGGAAGAAGGAGGAAGAAGAAGAAGGAAGAAAAAAAAAGTTGCAGTCGGAGGAAGAAGAAGAAGAAGAAGAAGAAGAAAAAAAAACAAAAAAAAAAACTTCCCCAGATTCGGAGGAAGAAGAAGAAGAAGAAGGAGAAGGAGAAGGAGAATGAAGAAGAAGGAAGAAGGAGAAGAAGGAGAAGGAAGAAGGAGGAAGAAGGAAGGAAGAAGGAGAAGGAGGAAGAAAAAAAAATTGCAGAAGAAAGAAGAAAAGAAAAAAAAAATCATGGATGGCACGTGGCGCCCAGTCATGGCACCACGTCACAATTAACGGCAAATTTAACAGTTTGATTAACGGATGTATGAGACTGTCCCAAAATTTACATTTTAGGTATGAATCTGAGACGAAAAAAACTTGATGTACTAAATGTTGAAAACTACAAAACATGAGGGTAGTAAATAGTCTTTTACCCTTTTATTTTTGTTGACATGGTAACATAGTCGGGGATTCGCAGAGTTGTTACCTTTTGAATTCATTGTATATACCTGATGAAATAAAAAAGAGAGAATAGACTGTAAATATATTATTGTTTTAAATAACTATTCTTTCCCTTATTGTATTCAGAACAAATATTAAGCTAAGAAAAATGAACCAAGCTGGCAACATTGACTAATAAAATAGTCTCCAACTTCTTGATGGATGAATATGCATGAAGGAGGATTAACATTGACCATCCACCCCTTAGAGAATTTAATCATACTACTAACTCAAGACTCAATCTTTGATGACTTGCATTTGTTATAATTAGTGCAATTCCGCTAATTAATAACTGTTAATGTCAGTGAGAAATACTCAGACTATTCAAGGTTTTTCTTATTCTTCAAAATGGTGCTTTAATTGTCTATTTCTGTGAAATGAAGAACAATATAGAGGAGAGGAAGACGATCGATGAACTAATAACAAACAATACAAGCTGAGGTTTGAGAAGAAATTAAGGATCTTACCAAGAACCACTCCAACTTGTGGAATCAAGCCAAGCAGGTGGAAAGCACTAGCACCAAAGATACCAGTCCCAAACAATTCAAAGAAGATTTCAGATCCTCTTGAAATGTAATGATCTGCGAGGGAGAGCAAGACCTCGTAGACGATTATCAGAAAAAGAAGCCCCCAAACTGAAGTTGCACAAGGCAAGAAGCCATAAATTGGTTCACAAGTCACAGAATCTGCTTTAAGATTCAGTGCTTCGACGATCGAAGATTGGCTTGTTTCGTCGTTTATTCCATCGGATATAAGACCGGAGTCTCTAACAATCCGGCTGCTTCCTAAATGGACTAGTTGGAGGACCAGAAAAATGATGAACAGAGCTGGTCTTGACATATCCAGAGACACACAGCTTTGTAATGAAAAATTATTACAAATGAGAAGGAAAATTGGTGCTTGATTAGGTTTAAATGGAGATCAATACCATGCAAGTTGTGACATCAGACAAAAATAGGTAAAAAATCAAGCAAGTTGCTTGACATTAGCAAATCCCTCTTTTCCTTCGTCTAGATTTTCAACAATAAGAACGAAGGATAATGTCGCGGGTTTGCAGAAAAAGCTGCCTGCTACCTAATTGGATTTTTTAAATAATTTAACCAAACATATTCCTATACACTTGCCCCACAATGCCATCAACCATTGCATAGTTTTGGATATAAGTAATGAAGCTCCTTAAATATAAATGCACACATTAATGAATAAATTGAATAGTGTATCGAATTATATGTATCTAAGTTAGGTCAGTTGGTCATGACAGTGTATTTCTTGCACTTAAATATTAAATTTTCCTTATAATAAATTAGAGTAGTTTAAAATATGTATTGTCTTATGATAAAATAACCACAATGTAGAAACAAATTAATAACTCTTAATGTAAAAATATTAATGTATTAATAAAATAAATCCATATGAAGATTCACTAGTGAGCTATAGTATTGGCATGTCTCTTTCAGTATCCTAATTGTCTGCAGAATCTACTAAGATTTTCAATGCCAACTTGTAATTTAAAAAAATGGTTAAATATCCAAACGTGGGCTGCAGTCTACAGAGTGAATGGTAGACGTGGGTTGATTTTAAAGAAAGTTGAAGTTCTATAAAAAAACTAAATAGTTATAAGGGGAGTAGTCTAACTTTTTATGAGCTCATGCAAGGTCTCTCATTTTATCAATGTGAGACTCATTCTCGACACGTCCTGTGGCGAATTTTCAAGCCTAACATGTAGACAACACAACAGGATGACGTAGAGCGTGTGTGACCGTTTGGCTTCACACATGAGACAACCTGCTCTGTTACCATAAAGAAAGTTGAAGTTTCACCATAAAACCAATTGACTATATGAAGAGTAGTCCAACATCTTATAAGCTCAAGCAAGGTTCCTCCTCCTATTAACGTGAGACTCATTCTCAATAGATTTTGGTGAAGCAGTAGCTTGCTTTCTAGTTTTTTTTTTCCTTCATCAGTATGAGGATCTTTGTATCCCATGCATTTATGACAAGAGATTTGGACTAACATAAAGATAACCAATGACTACAACAGTCTCTCTTTTTTTCATTAGCAAAGAGGTATTTTAAATTACTTTAACTTTAACGGTATTTCAAATTACTATAATTTATAGAAAGGTAATCTTTAAGTTTATGTTTTTATTTAGTCTGGATTATATTTGCTGTAACATTTAGATGGCTACAATGAAAGCGTATTTTGCTGTAATAATATTTGGTAGTCGCGAAACTGCTGGCTTAAGACCATCCGATAACAGTGGTAAGAACATGAACCAGCAGCAGTGATATTGGGTACAAAATGTATGCTAGAATGCATGTCCAAAATGGGAACTTTCTGCTGAAGCTGGCAGAAAAACCTACCGCTGTCGAAATAAGTAAAACAACTAAAACTTCAGCAGCCACGTCCCATGATAAATTTCGTATGTAAACGAGCGCCAAAAATATGACCAACCCCACAATGTTGTTCATGAACGCCGCTGTGTAAATCTGCAGAGAACAATTCAAACGTTAGATAATATTGATCATATGGGGTTGCAGTGTTGTGTTTTGCTCACGGAAAGTATTAGGGACTAAAATTTGATATATAAATCGGGAGAATAAGTGTTTGACATCATTAGACGCTCAAGCGTGTGATAGTAGTTAAAACAATATATTTGAGTTCATGGAGAGAAACAGACCTCAGAAAGTGTTAAAGAGATGGCATCCTCCGTCTTCTCTTTGGCAGACGTTACTGACATTAGCGCCAGTCTGTAGTTTGTAGCCAAGGGTATCACAACATACGAGGCCGCGAAAGAAGGGATGCTTGCAGCAGTGGAAAATTTTCGGAGACTTACCATGAGGGGCATTGAAAGAAAAACCGTTATGGCAGTTCCTAGAATAATTAGAAAAGCAGCCTTCAGGAGATTCATCCACGATGTATCAGCACCCTTAGTCCCATTTTTCTTAGAGATCAGCAGCGTAAGCTGATCTTCCATAGATTTCTCATTCTGCAAGTGCAGTTTAATGACCCGGATGAAACTCTAGTTTTTATAATCATTCAAATTAGTCCTATCAGGCAAATGCGGGCGTTATAGCAGATGTGCTCCTCCCCTATGCAGGTAATTTCAAGTCGCTCTCTCCAGGGTTCACATTAGTTTAAAGTAAAATATTGCTTGTGTAAAAAAAATGTACTAGTATAGTCTTACCGGGGCTGAATTATACCTTGGAATTATTTCTTCTGAAAAGCGATGTATGTTCATGACCTTTATCGTTGGCAGGGGGCTTGGCTGGATTAATCCATTTTGAGATTCCATTCACAAACTCCGTCTCAGCTATTTGAGCGTCGCCAGAGAGATCAAATTGCTTCATCACTTCTGATACATAATCATCGTCATCCAGACCTATTTCTTCTATTTGTATTCCTAGGATCAATGCTCTAAGTTCATCTGATGATATGTATTTGTTATGATTCTTGTCTATTCTATGGAACAGCCTGCAAATAAATTTAGAAAATGACTAAATGATAAGATCATACCATTTCAACGATTTAGGTGAACTAAAAACAGAAACCGGGTACTTACCCTTTTATAATAGATACATTAGGGTTTCCGCCTACTGTCATAAGACTCGGCAGTATGTTTTTCGGTATGTACTTACGTAGCAAATATTCAAGCCTTCTACTCTGAATCCATGGTTGAAAGAACTGCATAATTTTTTTCTGTCAATTACGAAGTTCACGAATACAACATTTCTAACTTATGTACTGTGTTCATCATTGCTAAAACATTCAGTCTTTTTCGAATTCTTATTAAGTTATTTCATCTTTCAGACACAATAAATCGAACTTTTACTATTATCTAAGTATTGCCGAGCAGATTTTATATTCTTGAAGTTGTGTTACCTGGTAAATGAAGTAAGTGGCAAGGAATGCAGATGCAATCAGTAGAGCAATTAAGATCACAACTCGAACCGCTGTGGTTGAAGTCAAGATTTTTGCCAGCTGAAGAATGAGATATGGGATCAACGAGAACATCATGATTCTTGCAGTATCTCGCGTTTCGACATCAGTTCTTACACCAGAACCTGCACAACCATGTTTACTTACACATCAAGTTGTCATATTTTAGAGCTCTTTCTTTCTGTGAGTGTTGATTAGTGTTTGTGAAGATTAGAGAAGTAACCAGTTAAACTGAAGGGTTTCGTATTTTCTGGATTTGATGAAGTTTGAGAATCCGAGAGGTCAGAGCTACCGAAAGCAACAGCAAGTAAACCAGTTAAGGGTTTCTTATTTTCTGGATTTGATAAAGTTTGAGATTCCGAGAGGTCGGAGCTACCAAAAGCAACAACAGAACCCCAAATTAGGGTAAGAATCATGATTGATGATCCTGCAAGCATGCTCATGCTCATTTCTGCCATTTCCTCCACAGTTTCTGTAGTTGCTGTAACTCCAATTACTGGGGAACAAAATGTGAATTTCTGTCATGAATTTACAAAATACAATACATGTCATGCATATTTCTACTTTGATTTAAAAGTTACAACCAAAACTTCTAAACTTTCTCCAAATAGTCAAGCAATTACTAGGCAAGTCAAAATCATACTATTAATCCACTAATACTCATTCACACTCTTAACACACCTTGTCACATGTAAGGTTACTTAAATTTAACGCGTGAACAATACATATTAAACACGTGAGTTGTTATGATCAACGATTCAACACCTGCGTATAGTTTGCTTTGATGCCATAATATATTATGGTTATCACAAATTAGGTACTTTTTTTTTGTAATTTTTCAAAATTCTGTCTTCTTTATACCTGCTCTTCATATTTTTATGGTCGGGAAACAATTATAAAATGACAAACTATGAAGCTGTACACCTAGATTTATAGCATAATAGATTTTATAGAGAGGAAGACGATCGATGAGGTTATAACAAACAATACATGCTGAGGCTTGAGAAGAAATTAAAGAGGTTACCAAGAACCATTCCAACTTGTGGAATCAAGCCAAGCAGGTGGAAAGCACTAGCACCAAAGACACCAGTCCCAAACAATTCAAAGAAGATTTCAGATCCTCTTGAAACGTACTGATCTGCGAGGGAGAGCAAGACCTCGTAGATGATTACTAGAAAAAGAAGCCCCCAAACTGAAGTTGCACAAGGCAAGAAGCCAAAAATTGGTTCACAAGTCACAGAATCTGATTTAAGATTCAGTCCTTCGAGGATTGAAGATTGGCTTATTTCATCGTTTATTCCATTGGATACAAGACCGGAGTCTCTAACAATCCGGCCGCTTCCTAAATGGACCAGTTGGAGGACCAGAAAAATGATGAACAGAGCTGGTCTTGACATATCGAGAGACACTTAGCTTTGTAATGAAAATATGTCAATGAGAAGGAAACTTGGTGCTTGGTTAATTAGGTTTAAATGGAGATCGATACCATGCAAGTTGTGACATCAGAAAAAATGGACAAAAAAAATCATACAAGTTGTCTGACATAAGCAAAATCCATCTTTTCCTTCGTCTAAATTTTGAACAAGTAAGAACAAAAGTTGGTAATGTATATAATGTGGCAGGTTTACAGAAACAGCTACCTACTTATTTGGATTTTTAAACAATTTGACCACATATATTCTTCTATACTTGCTCCACAATGACATTAATTATTGCATAACATTTTGGATATAAGTAATGAAACTCTCTAAATATAAATGCACACATTGACAAATACCTTGACTAGTCGATTGTATTGTGCGTATAAAAGTTAGATCAGTTTGTCTCAAATATCGAGTTTTTCTTTCCGGTAAATTAGAATAGTTTAAAATATGTATCGTCTTATCACTCTTATTATTTAAAATAACCACGTAGTAACAAAATATATTATATTGATGACAAGCATAACAAGTATTCGCCCGAGGAGATTCATATGAAGATCAGCAGAGAGCTTTAGTATTCGTACGTAGGTCTCTTTCATTATCTTATCTGTCTACGGAATCTGAGTTAATCAATCAAAGTACTAAGATTTTTCAATGCTTACCTTTAATTTTTTTTAAAATGGTTTAAGATTAAACATGGGCTGCAGAGTGGTCTAGGTGGGTTGAATTTTGGTGAAGCAAAAGCTTGTTTTCTAGGTTCCCGACAACTACAATAGTCTTCTTTTTCTTGTCATATGCATGGGATACCATGGGGAACAAATATATTTAAGGCTTTAGTGACTTCTTATCTCTCAAAACCTTTGTGACCTTCTGTTTTAATTGAATTGCCAAGTAACTATTATAAAAAGGCCGTACCCAGTGCACAAGGCTCCCGCTTTACGCAGGGTCTGGGAGAGGTGAATGTCGGCTAGCCTTACCCCCATTTATGGAGAGGCTGCCAAGTAACTATTATACTCTTAAATATTTAGGTAAATTACATAAAATTGCCTTAATTATTGGGTCAGTCACAGTTTCATATCTCATCTTTAAAAAATTTCAATGCCATACCTCATCTACGAATTTTTTACAATTTCATACATTCCGTCAATTTTCTTTTAATTTTTCCGTAAAATGCTGACGTGGATTGAGGCGGGGCCATTCCCTGGCCCAACTAGATTATAAAATTAATTAAATATTAAAAAAATAAAAAATAAAATCATTTAAATATTTTTATTTTATTTTAAAAAGGTGGAACCCATCCCTTACAAACCCATCACCCCACCCCTTATTCCCAGTTCACCCCAACATCGAACTCACCCATCTCCGATCACCCCAACCTCTCTTCCGCCACCTCTTCGACTCCTCATCCCTCCGTTCACCTCCGTCCCTCCATTCCACCAGATCTATACCACTCACAGGCTCGAACCCGACCCGATCCCCCTTGTCTTTATTCCGCAACCACCTCCCCGACCCGATCCCACACTCTCTCGTCTCTCTCCTCTGTAAACCCTAAAAAGCAAACCCCCAAACTCTCCCTCTCTTCACTTTCTCTCTACAGAGAGCCAGCAGAAGCCATGAAAGAACTAGACCGCCAATCTCTCAACCGGTAAGCTCCGCACCCAGAGCGACGTCGACTTGATCCTGGCTCGCCTTAACAGCACGTCGCCGATGCCGAGATTTTGATCAAGAGCGGCGTCCTTCTGGACTTCGATGTCTCGTTCGTCAGCAACTCCTCCTCCATGAGGGAGACAGTCCAGGCCTAGTGCCGGAACCTAGTGACTTGACTCCAAATAGGAAGCGCCGAATCGAGGAACTCGACGATGGAGGCGCTTGTAGGGCTTCTGCAGGAAGACGACAAACATGTCACTCTTGGACATTTTCCAGGGCAGCACACCCGTCTTGCAAGCTTCGGCGGCGGGTGTGCTGAGAAATTTGGTTGGGTTTGCCGAGAATTAAAAAATTATGGATTTTTTTTTCAAAATTTGTTTGTTTCTAGGGAGAGATGAGAAGAGTAGGGGAATGGGATAAGTGGCCGAGGCGGGTGGGGGGATGTTGGCGCGAGTGGGATCTTGGTTTGGGGTGGTTCTGGTTTTGGTTAGGGGAAGACGAGAGCGAGGAAAAATTTTGATGGGGATAAGGGGTGGGTGATGGGTTTGTAGGGATGGGTCCCATCTTTTTTTAATAAAATAAAATTATTTAAATGATTTAAATTTTTTAATTTTTTAAAATTTAATTAATTTTTTAATCCAGTTGGGCCAGGGAGTGGGCCTCGCCTCAATCCACGCCAGCATTTAACAGAACAATTGACAGAAAACTGACGGAATGTATGAAATTGTAAAAAATTCGTAGATGAGGAATGACATTGAAATTTTTTAAATATGAGGTATGAAACTGTGACTGACCCAATAGTTGAGGTAGTTTTATATAATTTACCCGTAAAATTTAGTATACCAATCCTTTGTAATTTCCCTATTTAAAGGGCTCTATATGTATCCTTAAAGTAGTGAAATTAGTGAATTAAAGTTAATCTAAGAAGAGAGTGAGTTTTCTACTCCTTAAAATCAAGTGTGAGACTTGGTCATGTCAAGTGAATCCACGATTAGCTATGAGTGAATATGTTGTTCCTAGTTGAGTGATTCCCAGGTTCTATCTCCGTAGAAACGCAAGTGATTTCGTCCCCTCTGGTTGAGCGATTACCAGGTTACTACCCCTTGTCTTTTCGAGACTCTTGGTCTTTTCTGCATCAAGTGGCATCAGAACAGGTTCTCTGTTGTGGAGTTAAAAGGAAAAAATAAAAATTCGTGTTGTTGATTATACACTTTTTTAAATTTTAGTTCTCTTTGTTCGAGTCACCCAAAAGGTTACATATCATTGGAAAGGTCTGGGAGTCCACTTTCCAACAAAACAGACTGTCACATCCTGGCCCGAGGTCCACCACATCCTGGGCCCGCTCCACCACTGTAGCACGATATTGTCCGCTTTGGGCCTCGAGTACGCCCTCACGGTTTTGTTTCTGGGAACTCACACGAGAACTTCCCAGTGGGTCACCCATCATGGGATTGCTCTCGTGCGCTACTCGCTTAACTTTCGAGTTCCGATGAACTCCGAAACCAGTGAGCTCCCAAAATGCCTCATGCTAGATAGGGATGAGAATATACATATAAGATCACTCCCCTGGGCAATGTGGGATCTTACAATCCACCCCCCTTAAGGGGCCCGACGACCTCGTCGGCACACCACAGCCAGGGTTAGGCTCTGATACCAATTGTCACATCCCGACCCGAGGTCCACCATATCCCGGGCCTGCTCCACCGCCGTTGCATGATATTGTCCGCTTTGGGCCCCGACTACGCCCTCATGGTTTTGTTTCTCGGAACTCACACGAGAACTTCCCAGTGGGTCACCCATCATGGGAGTGCTCTCGCGCGTTACTTGCTTAACTTCCGAGTTCCGATGAACTCCGAAGCTAGTGAGCTCCTAAAAGGCCTCGTGCTATGTAGGGATGAGAATATACATATAAGGATCACTCTCAAGGGCGATGTGGGATCTTACACAAACAGTGCCTTAGTCAAATTTTTTGCAGCAATTTGCTAGCAAATAGTGAAAGGTGTACGTTTTGTGTAAAATCTACAAGGCGCGGTTTCTTTTTCAACGAAGAGATATACCAGCATCTTGTTCCAATGAATAATAATTAGGCATATGAAAGCCACTCTAGTATGTTATTTATGGAGGAGGATATGTTTTATTCACAAAGAATTGATTGGAATCTACCTCCATTATATGATGGGTGTTCGGAGGATGGTGTTTTGATGATTCCTATCCAAACAGTTGCTAACGTTGAAGTGAATGTTGAAGAACATGCTTTGATAGATATTTACAGCTTGCAAAGTTCAAAATACGAAGGATTTGGATTGTTTCAAGATGAGAAGATTGATAGTCCAATGTTAAGTTCATCACTAAGCTATGGGCATGTAAAATTGTGGTCACGAGTCACGACCAAGTGATGAAGGAGCTATTCAAAATTTGCTTTTTAATGTTAAAGATCAAGTTTTGGGGACGTTACAACTGATGGCATATCGTTGAGAAGGTCGAAAACCTAAATTCAAATCAAGATTAAAAAGATACAAACTTGAGGACGAGTTTTTTTTGGAAGAGTAGAATGATGCAGTGCATGGGGAACAAATATATTTAAGGCTTTAGTGACTTCTCATCTCTCAAAACCTTTGTGACCTTCTCTTTTAATTGCATTGCCTAGTAACTATCCTACTCTTAAATATTTAGTATACCAATGCTTTGTATTTTCCCTATTTAAAGGGCTTCATATGTATCTAAGAAGAGAGTGAGTTTTTTCCTCCTTAAAATCAAATGTGAGACTTGGTCGTGTCGAGTGAATCCACGATTAGCGACGTGAGTGAATCCGTTGTCCCTGGTCAAGTGATTCCTAGGTTCTATCCCAGTAGAGAAGTGAGTGATTTCGTCCCCCTTGGTTGAGCGATTCCCAAATTACTACCCCTTGTCTTTTTGAGACCCTTGGTCTTTTCTGCATCACATGCATAATCAATGACTACAATAGTCTTTTTATTCTACTAACAAAGTTGTGTTTTAAATTACTTTCACTTATTCCCGAGAACTAGTCGAACCCGCATATGCATGCACGATAGAGTAATCATCACGAATGATTCAGTGGTTGGGGATGAATTCCAGTCCCTTATTTCATACAACCCGTTCTAGAATCGATTCTTGGCGCTAGTGAATAACACGATGATATGATCATGAAAAGATTAAAATGTCTTTATGAGTCTTTCCGATCTTTGAAAAAAAAAAATTGTAGTGGTGAAGCCACCAACTGTTCCCTTTTTCAAAACAGGAAAAGCATATGCAGGAATAATAGTCTTACCGTCAACCTAATGCTACAACAAGAACCAAGTGACCGCCCAACCCGTGTACGTCTA